GTTAATTTTGAAAAAGGTGGTATAGTTAGTTGTAGTGGAATTTTAAGAATGTATTAAAATAATATTTAGAGTAAAATAATTAAAATTGATTTGATGTAAAAGTAAGAGATAAATGATTGGAAATAATTGGAAATGATAGGTAGTTAAAATTATGTGAGTAGATGAATAGTGAATTAAAGTTGATGTGATGCGTAAGAATGATTGGTTTGTATTATTTAATTATATGAATAATATTAAAGATAGTGGGGTTGAGTTAAAGTTGAGTTAGATTTTGAGTTGAAATAAAAGTGAGTGAATTATTTTGTAAACAATCACCCCCTTAATGATTATTGTATGGCAGTGGGAATTGATGTTGAACATCCTGTAGCACATGTTCATACTCAAAATAGTCTAGCAGAATCATTGATCAAACGATTGCAGCTTATAGCCAGACCATTGATAATGAGAACAAAACTGCCCACTTCGGTATGGGGACATGCTATTCTGCATGCAGATAATCTAATTCGCATAAGACCAAGTGCACACCATACATACTCGCCATTACAGTTGACATCTGGTCGAGAACCAAATATTGCACATATTAGAATTTTTGGTTGTGCAGTGTATGTACCAATTGCTCCGCCCCAACGTACGAAAATGGGGCCTCAAAGAAGGTTGGGAATATATGTTGGATACGAATCTCCATCAATAATAAAATATCTTGAGCCAAAAACAGGTGATGTTTTTACAGCTCGATTTGATGATTGTAATTTTAATGAAGAACTGTTTCCCCCTTTAGGTGGGAATGAAAAGTCAATTGAGAAAAATATTGAATGGAGAACATTATCACTGTCATATCTTGATCCTCCCACCAAACAAAGAGAGCAAGAAGTTCAAAAGATTATACATCTGCAGAATATTGCAAATCAATTGCCAGATGCATTTACTGATACAAAAAGGGTGACAAAATCACATGTTGCAGCTATAAATGCCCCTGCTCGAATTGAGATTTCAAAAGAAATGGCAAATGACGATGTGCCAAATGAATTAAAGGCACAATTGAAACGAAGAAGACCAGTGGGGTCTAAAGATAAGAATCCTCGAAAGAAAAGAGAAATTCAAAATTCGAATTTGAAAAGGAATCAAGATGATGAAAAAAATTTTGGAACGAAATGAAAATATTGAAATCTCCATCAATTATGTAAATAATGGGAAACTTTGGAAGCGTGATGAGATCATTGATGATGCATTCGCATATATGGTATCACAAGAAATTGACAAAGAAGTTGAGGATCCTGAACCAAAGTCTATGATTGAATGTCAGAAAAGACATGATTGGGACAAGTGGAAAGGTGCTATTCAAGCCGAGTTAAATTCACTTAATAAACGAAAGGTTTTTGGACCTATAACCATTATACCCAAAGACATAAAACCTATTGGGTACAGATGGGTTTTTGTCAGAAAAAGAAATGAGAAAAACGAGATCACAAGATATAAAGCTCGTCTTGTAGCACAGGGATTCTCCCAGAGGCCTGGGATTGATTATGATGAAACATATTCCCCTGTTATGGATGCGATTACTTTCAGATACTTGATTAGCTTGGCCATCCATGAAAATCTTGAGATGCGTCTTATGGACGTTGTGACTGCTTACTTATATGGGTCACTAGACGCTGACATTTATATGAAAATTCCAGAAGGAATTAGAATACCCGAGGCGCTAAAGTCCAAACCTAAAGAGTTCTGTGCGATAAAACTGCAAAGATCATTGTATGACTTGAAACAATCCGGGCGTATGTGGTATAATTGTTTGAGTGAACAATTACTGAAACGGGGATACATAAATAATCAAATATGCCCGTGTGTTTTTATAAAAAGATCACAAGATGGAGTTGTGATAATTGTCGTTTATGTCGATGATCTTAATATTATTGGGACTAAAAATGCAATTCAAGAAGCAGTCACTTTACTAAAAGGCGAATTTGAAATGAAAGACCTCGGGCAGACCAAATATTGTCTCGGCTTGCAAATAGAACGGGTCCAAAATGGGATATTTGTCCATCAATCTAATTACACTAAAAGAATACTGAAACGATTCAATATGGACAAGGCTAATCCACTTAGTGCCCCAATGGTCAATCGAACATTAGATGTCGAAAAGGATCCATTTCGACCTTGTGATGAAGATGAAGAAATACTTGGTCCTGAAATACCATATATGAGTGCAATAGGGGCTCTTATGTATCTTGCAAATTGCACCAGACCAGATATATCTTTTGCTATCAACTTGTTGGCGAGATATAACTCGACACCTACGAGGAGACATTGGAATGGAATTAAGCATATATTCCGTTATCTTCAAGGGACAATCGATTTGGGACTGTTTTATTCTAACGATAGAAAACATGAAATAATCGGTTTTGCAGATGCAGGATATCTCTCAGATCCCCATAAAGCAAGATCTCAAACTGGATACGTTTTTACGATTGGCGGAACTGCATTTTCTTGGCGTTCCCAGAAACAAACATTAGTTGCGACGTCTTCAAACCATGCCGAGGTCATTGCATTACATGAAGCAACTAGAGAATGCATCTGGCTCAGAAACATGACTCAACACATTCAACAAGCCAGTGGACTATCAAATAATAATGACCCGACGGTGATATTCGAAGACAATGCAGCATGTGTCGCTCAAACAAAAGAAGGATACATGAAGAATGACAGAACTAGACATATCCCGCCAAAGTTATTCTTATATGCGCAAGAGCTTGAAAGAAACAAACAAATCAAAGTTCAATACATCCGATCAAGCGATAATGCAGCAGATTTGTTTACGAAGGCGCTTCCGACGACAATATTTCGAAAGCACGTGCACAATATTGGAATGAGACATCTTCGGGATTTGCACGGATGATAACTCGAGGGGGAGTATGTGCGGTTGTACTCTTTTTTCCTTGTCTCGGTTTTTTTCCCACAGGGTTTTTCCAGATAAGGTTTTTAACGAGGCAGCATAAACGCACATTTAATAGTGGTAATTCCAAGGGGGAGTATTGTAAATATATGGAATTATCCACTAATTATAATCTTATCACTTATATTATTATATTATTATCATGTATAGTATTGTGTGCCAATTTGGTCTATATAAAGGACCAAAGTATTGTAATATTGGTGTACGAAAAGTGAAGAAGAGAGAAAGAAAGAAAGCAAGCTCCTTATAATTTTTATCGGTTTTTACATTGTGTTCTTTATATTCCCCGTATTTCATAACACTATGAATATTTTTTACAATTCACCGATAATATGATCTTACTATTCCACATGTAAAATAAAAAATGTTCGTAGGCTGAGCATGGGACTCGGAGAATCCAAACCGTCTGAAAGTAAACCGAAATCACTCCGGACCGAAAAATAACCGTTGACCGTTTGATTTTCTCCGAACCGAACTGAATCGAAATAATAATTAGTACGGTTCTGGAGATTTCATAAATATCCGTACCGAGAACCGAATCGAACCGTCTCATACTATACCGAACCGAAGAACCAAAATTAAGAATCGAATTATAACATTAGATGTGTGTTATTGATATATTTTATATCAATTTTGATCGTATATAATTTGAGAATTTTTAAAATGTAAATAAAATATAGTAATAACAATTAAGCTTCACCTAAATTTCATGCCTGGTAATACTTAATTTACAATTGAATTTTTCATGTTATAAAAGAATTATTTAAAATGGTATGAAAGGTTAAAGAATATTTTTTAAGAAAAACTATATTATATTTTGTTTGAATCTTAAAATTCAATATTAGATGCAAGAATTTAGTTTTAACAAAAATTTAGAGTTACTCTAAAGTTGGTTTCAAAATAAAATTTTTAATATGATGAAGTATTGATGAATGTAGGTTTTTTTAAAGCATATACAAATTAAATAAGTAAAATTTTGAGTTACTTCTAAAGTTGATTTCAAAATAAAGTTTTTTTTTTTTTTTTTTTCCGAACGACAAATTAACTATTATAAATCAAAGCGCACAACGTGCGAATAAAAGTACAAATCTCCCAACGGGAGAATAAAATGAATGATGTATTTCTGTAAAGAATATAAAAATTAAACTATAACTAGGTAGTCATTAAAAACAATTAAAAAATTAAGAAATCTCCGACAATACGAACCGAACCGAATTGAAAAATAAAAATCTCTGAACCGAACCGTCCCCATTTTTTGGTACGGTTCCGGAGATCGAATTTAGTGATCTCCAAATTTTGGTACAGTTCCAAAGATTTCTCAATCTTCGAACCGTACCGACCCATGTTCACCCCTATTATGTTTGCATAAATAAATTAACTGCAAATATGCACGTGACTAAACCATGAATTCTCATTCAAAATGGTATTGTCAGAAATTGAAGGCGAGCATTTACACTATACCCCAACATTATAACTTTGTAAAAGGATGCAAAGAGCTCTTAAAAATTTCATGTATGTAACCATTTCAATTCATGAGAATTTATAGATGTTCTAACACATCTACAGGGGTTTCAAGACATCAAAAAACACCTTTTGGGATGTGCCCGGTAGACTAGACCTGAGTAGGAGCATCTTCGTATGAATAGGTGCATTAGTATCGTCTGCTCGTCGCGCTCTTCCGCAAGGCAGCACAGTCCGTCAGCCCAGTGACAGGGCCCTACGCACAACTGCGCACTGGAAGCTTGTACGAGCTCGTCCGGACTCATAATCGAGTTCCGTTATTTCCTATCGTTCTCAACGGGCCCTTCATTCTAGCATACATAATGCATGATTATGGCTCATTTAGTTTGTCCAAAGATTTGCCAAAACAGAATGTTTATGAAACCAACAACCTTTGAGTTACTTAAACTCAATTATTCCATATACAATACTTAGAATTAATTTCTAATTCAACTTAAAATGGTTTTCAAAATTTTGTAAGTCTTCCACTTACGGAAAATGAAACTAATCTTACTTACAACAAAAACAAATAAATTCTTAAATGAAAATACTAATCATCCTTATCAATCTCCTCATCTTCATTTTCGTCGTCGTAGTAAGTAAAAGGAAGTGGCACCGACTTGAATGCTCGATACTTGCCAACGTTGTTGAAGTGCTCATTCTCCAACCTGACAACAATTTGTTTGTTGAATATTTAGCATTAAACAAACGCACAATGCAAGTGATCATCAGTTTCACCACCATTTTAACATCAAGTTACTTAAATAAGCTTTCTCATGAATGCTAAGGTTACCTGAAGAAGTTCCATATGCCACGCCGAACAATTTCTAGACATGAGAATATAGTTGATACCGACTTTCCCTGCAATGAGTGCACGTTTAATGTCAAGACAAGTTGTAGCCAAGCGAACCTGAGAAGAATATCCAAGATCTGCAAATAAAATTGAGGGAGAGGAAAAAATGAGAAGGCTAATGAACAGAACATAAAACTATTGTGTCAGATTCAATACATTTTTAAGTCGTACCATTGCTCCAAAGTACACACTTCTGTGAGAAACGGAAAGTTTATCTCTCAGGAATGGATTTTTCGACTTTCTCTGCAGAAGTCCCCAGTCGATAGCAATATCCCAATACGTATTTGCTACGGTAGCAATAAGTGAGCTAGCTAAAGCTAATACTTTCCATGTTATGTTCTTCTTCAATTCGAAAGTCGTTCTAATCACAACCGCAATTATTGTCCAGAGATATTTCAAACCATTATATGCATGATAAGAGTCTTTCTCTTCAAACAACCGACGAACACACTACAGAAGAAAAGGAAAATTACAAGTGAAACTAACAAATTATCAAAAATCAATCGAATGTTAACAAGTCATAGGTGCATGACTCTCAAATAGGAAAATGCTCGACTGATATATAACTCCATGTACCAATGAATTTAGAAAAAAATAAAATAAAATAGAAAACGAAACCTGGAGAAAACGAAACCAGTATGGTATAACTGCAACAATGAAATAGAAAACATTGTACAAATCAAGATTATCGCATCTGATCAATTTCTTAGACAATTTTCCATTTCCATAGAAGCAAATGTAGTACTCGAAGCTCCTCAGAGCCTGTATCTGTAGACAAACAAACAGATTAAAATCTACTTTAAACACAAGCATCAATATAGCCAGCTGAATTAATAAAAATAACAATAGTGACAACTAACAACAACAAAACAGTAACATGAGACCTGACTTGTGAATTGGTCCGCCAAGAAAAAGTCGGGCAGTTTAACCTACAAGACAATGAAATACTGTCTAATGAATTAAGTCAAACATAGAAACTATTCAATCTTATTAATTAATTGAGTTCTTCAAGTTACATTGCACCTTGTAGAGAGGAGCACAAATTAAACGAAACGTGCACATAACAAGAAACATACGACTCGAACGGTAGATGATATTGAATGGGCAAAAGATAATGCCAACAATCACCTGCACGAATGCGGTCAATCAAAATATCCATGCAGTGAATAGCATATCAAAAAATATTATAAAAAAAAAAAAGGAATTTTCCTTTATATATATTTTTATATATATGAAATATATACATATATATCTTACAATGACTAATCCCAAAGGGAGAAGTTCAACATATGTTTCGTAGTGCTGCGTTTCTGAGTCCATCTTTATGTGTAAGTGAACCAGGAAAGTGGCAAGAGCAATCACCGCAAGACCATTGCTGAGAAGAAATACATCTCGAGAGCCTAACTCGGTTCCTTGTTTGAACTCGAATATGAACGGGTAGTTGATCTTATAACGCTTCCAAAAGTATGTGTTTGCAGCGTATACCATCATGTGAAGGACAATGTATATATAGAAACTGCAGAGATTTATACTTAACTTCACCATATTTACTGGGTAAAATGAATGAACTGCAAATAGTTTAAATGTAATTTCGCCATAATTATACTGCAGAAATTAAAGGAGCTGAAACATGTTTAAGTTTTTACCTATAGAGAGGGAATATAGTGTTCATGTATAACGTTGCTGTCTTCTTTTGTATTAATCTTCTGTCTTCAATAAGCAGAATAACAGCGACTAATAGAGCAACCGAACAACCAGAAAAGAAACCTGGCATTACAAATGAATGAAAAGAGAAACACATAAGCTTTTGTTTAGCGATGCATTTACAAAGTTTAATGTAATTGGAGAGAAACATTAATTACCCGATAAGAATGTTACCCGATGCTTGTCCTTCTTCTGTTTAGGTTTCAATAATCTCATGCCTTCACGACGGTTAGAGTTGAGAAAGTTCTTGATGAAGACCACCTCAACCCATTCCATGAGATTAGTGACCTGTAATTACATGACAAAAAGTTTAGACCATCCATCTTACAAAAATGTTTAAAATAATTTCACATTTTTAATCATGTTTAATTCAGATCTACCTCATCAGAATTTCCAATAAAAGAGTTATCCACGATTCTCATGTATGATCTCGTGACACTTCTTGATGTTACCTATAAAAAACACTCAGGAACTCGGGACATAGAAACCATTACCATGCGATTTTAGCAACATTAGAAAAATACCTTATCATACTTCTTCAAGATCTTTGAAAAGGCCAAAAGATTCATGTAGCTGTTTGTTTACTCAATCAATCAATGTCATTGCCAAACAGAAGCAAATATATTTCCCGAAAAAAAAAAAAAAAATTCAATCTCTTTCTTTCTTTTTTTTTTGGATATATTCACCTGTAATGCTTAAGACGGCAAAGCATTTGGTAAAACTCGATAAACGCAGCCTTCAATCTCCCCTGAGCCGCTTTCAGTTCTACTTTGTTATAACTCAAATCCTTCTCTTTAGGTTCCTTGAATACTCTTTTAATAGTCGACATCGGACCATCAGACGTATTCGAAATCTTTACGCGATCGAGTACTTCTAAAACAGACGTTTCATTCTCGCCCCCATCTATTGAGCTAACACAAATTTTCGAAGGAGGAATCTCACATATGTCACCAGAGTGCTGCTGTGCTTTACATCTCGAGTCCTCTTCTATTAGTAAAATATTCATAGTTATTAAACCAAAAAAAAAAAAAAAGACGCAACTTCAATTTATATTTTGTTATACTAAAAGTTTTAAGATCAGAATTGCATCACCAGTAGACGAGCTGGGTCCCGGCTGACTTCTATCACTTGTTTCGACATCAATTTCCGGATTATTTCCATCGAAATCCGGATTAGTCACTCTAATTCGCAAAGCAACCAAAGCATCGATTTGCTTTTCTAACAAATTGGCCTCCCGAGTCACTTCTTCCACCTTGTCCTTGTAGAAGTTATTCGTCTTGTTGAGCTCGTTATCGAGCTTCTCGAAAAAAACAGTCTCCTTCTCGTGCCTATGCGTGTCTCTCCTGGACACCAGCAGCTTTGTATTGTACAGCTTTCTAAAATTCTCTTGTTCCACCGTGTGGACATCAATCACCTGATTCTCGAGGTCACCCGAAAGTGAAGCTCTGTTTCGAGAAGCAGCAGTTGATGGATTCGGGCCCTGTCTCGCCTGATTCACAATAGCTTGCAACGTGCGTTTGAGCCCGTTGTAGTCCACATAGGCATCCGTCCACTCGGGCACCTTTTCTTTATTGAGATGTTTCCCGAATTTCATACTTTCCACTGGAATCAACAAGAAGATATTCACTCAGACAAATACACAAACATCTATCAAACAAATGTATTCAAGTTCGAAAAATGTAAGAATGTGCAGAATTCAATGGAAATACAAACTAATGCCTTTTTCCATATCACAAAGAACAAAAGAGTTTACGATTAGCCTTCAAAATGGGTCCATTAAACCACCATTAACACCAAATTTACTGCGCGTAAATCACCATTGCCAGTTTGCCACCACGAAAGGGGAAAGATAAAAAAAAAAGGAACTCAAATTCGGCCATTTTTAACCAAAACAGGGAAAATAGGAAAAGAAGAATGAGAATCGAATAACCTTGGAATAGAATTTGTGGCGCGAATGAGGATTTCCAGAGGTGAAATTGTGAAATTGCAATGGAAACATTGCGTGTATGTGTCAAGTTTTGAGTTTCTGTTACAGAGAGAGAAGTATTATGGTTTGCGGGAAAGGATCACCGGGGCGGCCGGGGGTATAGCAGCCATGTTACGTGGAAGAATAATAGGGGCGGATATTTTTATTTTATTTTATTTTATTTTATTTTTTTTTAAATGTTGTGCATGTAGAGTTGTTCGTGCTGATTCGTATTCGACAAAAAAATCTAATAATTTTATTAATCGAATGAACACGAGCTCGTTCGTGAACATTCGATTATGTTAGCGAACATTAATTTAATATAATTTTTTTTATATATTTACATTATATTTTTATTAAAAAAATCTAAAATTTAATATATATATATATATATATTTTTTTTTATATATTTACATAATATTTTAATAATAGATATACTATATAAAATTATTTTTATTTTATTCTTTTCTTTTCGATTTCGAACGAAAAAATTTCGAGTTAATCGAATATATTTAGAAAGTTTATGTATTAAATTATTCGAACACGAACGAACTCGAACTTTGACGAAAAATTACACGAACGAACTAAAACACGATTTGTTGCTTGAAAATAAACGAACGAATACGAACAATGTTCGAACATAAACGAACACGAGCTCCAATAACCCAAGCTCAGTTAAGTTCGGTTCGTTTACAACACTATCTGCATGTAAACGTATGTAACAAATACCCATCACAATCCACCCTTTGGCTGGCGGGCCCAAAAAATGCCAGCCCGACTCATATCGTTACGCAGGCTGGCCCGTCTAGAAAATATATATCCGCTTAAAATGAGTTGTTTAGGTTAATAGAGTTAATTTTGAAAAAAAAGTTGTATGGTTAGTTAGTGATTCATATTAAAATAATATTTGAAATAAAATAATTAAAGTTGATTTGATGTAAAAGTAAGAGAGAGATGATATGAGTGATAGTTAGTTAAAATTATGTAAGTGGATGAATAAATAATTAGAATTGATGTGGTGTTTAAGTATGAGTAGTTGATGTAATTTAATTATACTGATAATACTGAAGATAGTGGAGTTGAGTAAAGTTGAGTTAGATTTTGAGTATGAATTGAGTAAGGATTGTGATATTTCATATACAAACACACCCTAAGATTATGAATAAAAGAAAGTGATGTTTCCAGCCAGCCCAACAAAACAGTGCATCCTCTAGTATTAATTGATTACAATTTATATCTCTCACGACATAAGTA